ATAAGGCCTTTCTCCAGTGTGGACTCTCTGACGTATAATAAAGCTCGAGAGGTAGGTAAAGGACTTCCCACATTCACTGCAGTCATAAGGCCTTTCTCCTGTGTGGACTTTCTGGTGCTGAATGAGGTTACATCTCCGGGTGCAGGCTTTTCCACACCTGCTGCACTCATAAAGCCCTTCTGCAGTGAGGGCCCTCTGGTCAACAAGCGTGCCGGTGCAGGTGACGGCTTTCTTGCCTCCTCCCCAGTTCTGATGCGTTCTTCCGCTGTGAAAGACAGCCTCACAGGCATCACCGCTGTTTGCCTTCTCACTGGGAGTGGCCGGTTGATGGAGAAAGCCCATGCTGGCTAAGAAGTCCTTCCCAATCTCCCCACAGGAAGAGGATTTCCTTGACACACGGGTCGTGCAGCTCTCTACAAACAAGGCTCCAGCCACAGAACTTCTGTAGGGTATCCTTCTAATGTGCTGCCCCCGGTGCTGTTGAAGGTTGGCAGTGAAATAAAGTTGACTCCCGCACGTGTACGGTTTCTGCCCAAGATGTGTTCCCTGGTGCTCAGGCAAACGCAAAATCTCTCTCAGGACTGGGCCACACATCTCAAAGGGCTGGGCCTTCTGGGGAGATGAACCTGCCTTGACAGTCCTGATCTGTGACATTCCTTCTGCAGAGACGGTCTGTTCAGAAGGTGCTTCCTTATCTCGCACTCCATGCCAACAACCTGAAAGCAGAGAAGTGACGGTGAAGTACAAGTTCAGTCCACTGCGAGGGAGCAAAACCACCACACGTGTAATCTGGCACGTGAAAGAATCAGTCCATGAACCTGTTTGCAGGGAAAGAGTTGGTGTCAGCTTGAGGAAGCAGCTACTGTGCACCACTGGGTCCCTAAGGTCACAGAAAGGTGCAGGCCTCACCAGGCACAGGACACTAGGACAGGGTGGGGCCGAGAGGGGAAGGCACGTTCTACAGCTCATTCTTCTGTCCGTGACTCGCAGCAGGATTGTATCTGCTGGTGACATGTGATGCTATGGAGAAGTCTACTTCAGGCCCAGAAAAATCTGACTGAAAAATGGTTAACAGGTGTTCAAGGATTATTAGATGCATGTACACCGCAGGACACAACAAACTGGGATAGCACTGAGGAGGGAAGAGCTGAGGAGTGAGTGAGATAAGCAGTGCGGAGAGGTGGGGAGTAGCTCTCACCCGGAAGAGCCATAAAATGACGAGTAGAAATGACAAGTCAGCAAAGTGTCAAAGAATGGAGAAGGGAAGGTAGAGGTGAGGTGGGGCCACTGGTGTGGCAGCACTGAAACCCAAGTAAAACAGGACAGGTTCCTGATATATTTCAACCAAACCCTGAATTCACGGCCTCCCCCAGCTGCCATGCATCTGGGTCAGGTCCCCTCTGAGCCCATCCGGTTGAGAATGGAGTCATGTCCATCCTGGGAAGCACAGGGGACTCTTCCTGTAGCCCCAGCTGGGGAGCTGCAGGAGATCAGGATGATCCAAACCTAAGGGAAGGACAGGACAAGTCACAATACTCGCCCAGACAACTCAGCACACAACAGACCACCAGAAAGATACTTTAAAATACTAGGTACCTGTGGGCGCGGCTAGAGGGAAGATGGCAGAGTAGTAAAAGCAGGTGTTTCCTACCTGGACGACAACTGCACTGGTAGCATCTATCTGGTGTGACTACTTTGCAACGCCAAGTTGCTTTAATTTTGGTCAACTGCAGCTTTCACCACTACCATGACATCAAACACAGACAAAGACACGACAAGAGAAGAAACCTACAGACCAACAGAACTGATGATTACTGGGGCTAAAGGAATCAAGAAAATACCAGCAAACTCTATTTAGCAACACAGTGAAAAAATCATACAAAATGAAAAGCTAGCATTTATTTCTAAAATGCCAGGATTGTTCAACACACAAAATTTGATCTATATAACATGTTGCATTAACAACAAACGGGAAAAATCTATCACCTCAATCAGTGCGATAAAACCATCCAAAAAAGTTTAAAACCCTTTCACCATGGAAATACTCAACGAACTACGAACTGAAGGAAACCAGCCTTCCATAATAAAAGTAAAAAATTTAAAGTGTAGGGCAAATACCACACTTGATGGTGAAAGAATGAAAACTATTCCACTATGATCAGGAATAAGAAAAGGATACCAGTTTCTACCACTACTCTTCAATACAGTACTGGAAATTCTAGAAAGAGCAATTAGGCAAGAAAGAGAAATAAAAGGCATCCAATAGAGAAGGAAATAGGATTATCACAGCTCAAGAAATCTTAAAAGATTCCACCACAAAACTGTTAGAATAAAAGAACTCAGCAAAGGAAGGGGATACAAACATAAAATGAAAAAAAGCAGTTATATTTCTGTACACTAACAATGAACAATCTGAACAGGAAACTAGGAAAACAATTCCACTCGTAAAGTATCTACCTAGGGTGGGGGGTATACCTCAAGTGGCAGAGTGCATGTTTAGCATGCATGAGGTCTGGGTTCAAACCCCAGTACCTCCTCCATAAACAAACAAACAAACCTAATTACCTCCTTCCCCCCAAAAAACCCAGAGAAATAAATAAATCAATAAAATTAAATTAAAAAATAAAAAATAAAAATATCTATCTAAAGACTGAAATATGTAGAAATAAACTTAACCAAGGAAGTAAGGCTTGTACACTAAAAACTACAAAACACTGGTCCAAAAAATTACAGACAATAAATGGAAAGACTTTTATGCTCACGGATTGGAAGACTTAACACTGTGAAGATGTCAACACTATCCGAGTCATCTACAGACTCAACACAACTGCTATCAAAATTACAAAGGCGTCTTCTGCAGTAACGGAAAAATTCATCCTAAAATTCATACGGAATCTCAAGGACACCAAGTAGCCAAAATAATCTTGAAAAACAACAAAGTTGGAGGAGACACACTTTTAAATTTCAAATATTACTGCAAAACTATAGTGATCAAAACAGTTGTATGGCTGGCATAAAGACAGGCATACAGAACAATGGAACAGAATAGAGAGCTCACAAATAAGCTCTCACATATGTGGTCAAATGATTGTCAACAAGGAGGCCAAGACCATTCAATGGGGAGGGACAGACTTTTAGGCACATGATGCTGGGAAAACTGAATATCCACATGCATAAGAATGAAGTTGGATGGATACTGTATATACATAAATTAACTCGGAATGGATCAAAGGTCTCAAGGGCTACAACTATAGAACTCTTAAAAAAAATAGAAGGAAAGCTTCATGACACTGCATTTGGCAATGACTCCTTGGATATGACACCAAGGACACAAACAACAGTCAAAAACAGACAAATTGGACTTCATCAAACTGAAAAACTTTGGTACATCAAAGGATGCTATGAACACAGTAAAAAGCCAACTCACAGAATGGGAGAAAATATTTGCAAATCACGTATCTGATAGAGGATTAATATCCAGGATATAAAGAGAATTCCTAAAATTCAAACAGCCAAAAACCCAAGCAACCGGATTCAACAATTGGCCAAAGACCTGAATACATATTTCTCCAGAGAAGATACACAAATGGGCAAGAAGCACGTGAAAAGATGCTCAACATCACTAGGCCCGAGGGAAATGCAAATCAAAACCACAAGGAGATACCACTTCACACCCATTAGGATGGTTAATACCTCCTCCTTATAAAAGAGGAGTTGTCAGTAAGAATAGAAGAAACTGGAACCTTTGTGCAGCTGCTATAGAAAACAGTATGGCGGTTCTTCAAAAAAGTTAAAAATAGAACTATCATAACAGCAATTCCAGTTCTGGGTCCAATTCCAAAGGAACTGAAGCAGGGACACTAAAAGGTATCTGTATACTCATGTTCATAACTGCATTATTCACAAGAGCCAAAAGGGGGAGCACCGAAGTGTCCACTGGTGGAATAATGGGTAAACAAAACGTGGTACAGACACATGACAGGATAGTATTCAGACATAAAAAGGAAGGAAATTCAGATACATGCTACAACACAGATGAATCTCAAGATATTACTACTAAGTGAAATAAGGCAGACATGAAAGGACAACTACTGTGTAATTCCACCTATATGAGACACCCAGAGCAGTTAAATTCATAGAAGACACACAAAGTAGAACGATGGCTGGGGGTGGAGGGGGGCAGCTACTGTTTAATGGGTACAGAGCTTCAGTTTGGAAGATGAAAACCTCTGGTGGACGCACGATGGTAATGGCTGCACAGAGAAGGTACTAAACGCCACTTAGAGGTGGTAAATGTTTTGTCATGTGTATTTTGCCACAACTGAAGCCGGTAAAAAGAACCTGAGCTAAGGAATCTCGCAAGAACATTTGTGTAAGTAGTGACTATGTAAGTGACTACAAGACAGGCACAAATAAAGGTGAGGTATAGGAAGGGCATGATACTAGGGTGCCATGGAGCTAGACAGTCACCCAGCAACGGAGGGCAAGACAGGGGGGATCCATTAGGATGAACTAAATAGTGACACCCAAGCCTTCCCAGTGAGGCTGTGCGCCAGCAGGTGTTGCAGTGATAAAGGATGAGAAGAAGGCATGTACTCAGCCCAGCCCCAGGTAACAGCACATACCCAGGGAGCTGGGGAAGGAAACAGTGCCCATGGCTTCAATGAGGACATACTTACCCCTGGAGAACAGAGAAAGGCAGAGCCTTGCCCAGGGCATAGGGGCAGCTGTAAGCGCTTACCCAGTGAGGATGTCAGTGCCAGGTTCTCCAGCATCACATCGTGGTACAGGCATCTCTGAGCTTCATCAAGGAGATCCCACTCCTCCCAGGAGAAATACAGGGCCACGTCCTCAAAGGTCACACTTCCCTGCCAGGAGACAGACAGATGAAACCACGAACGGCCTCATTCCTCAACACCCACAATCCATCTCCTCCCACATCCACCCCATGGCCTTCCTCCTCCTAAGACACCCCAATCAGAGGAGATCCCAGACCCTGGTGCCATTTGGTGTCTGCTCTCTCCTCCCACTCCCATTAACCACTCTGCTCACGCTAACGTCCATTCCGCAGCCATATGGAGCCTGTTAAGACCTAGACGATGAGATCATCTCTCCCATCCGACCCAGACCTCTGATCCACTACCTCCAGAACAGATGCCTAACTTCACAGGCACTTGTTCCAAGTCTGACGCTTCCTCCCCACACCCACCTCCTTCTCACCAGAAAGAAAGGAGACCTGCAATTCCCTGAACCAGCTCAGTCCCACCTCCAAGCACTTCCCGTTTTTGTGATAAACTTCCACATCTCTTTCCATTCGCGGCCTGAAATGGGAACCCCTCCATGTAAGCCCCGGACTCCACTCAGGACCCTGAGCTACGATTCTCCGGGGCCTCCACCCTCAAGGGCCGGGAAAATGGCAGGTGACAAGTCTCACGACAACACAAATTTGGAGAAAACAGGGGTTTGGAGAAAACAGTGAGAAACGAGGACACCTCCACTTACCTGTGTAGCTTCCAAAACCACTTCTGCATCCATGGAAACCTGCGGGAAGAGGCAGGTCTTAGAGGGATGTCAGCATGGAAACTTGCCAGGGGCTCAGGCCTTCCCTGTACCCGTGGCGGGCACCGGAGCCAGGTAACCCCGGGCCGACCGTCTAACCTCGGTAGGGTCTCTCAGCAGTTGTGTGTCCTTCGAACAACCATCAACCCTCCTCTGCCTCAAGGTCCTCATCAGCCATACAATTTGTTCTTCTACTGAACAGCCCTTGGGAGATTTTTCAAGCCTAACTCAGGTCAGGTCTCTCCTCCTCAAAACTTTTCCAAGGTTCCCAGGGCCCCACGAGGAAGGTAAAACTCCTCCACCTGCCACTGCAGCTGCGACTCTACCACCTCTGCCCTCGCAGAAGCAACGTGGGCCCCAGGTTTCCCGAACGTTCCGGGCTGTCCGACCTCCAGGCCTCCGCACCTGCCGGGTCCCCCCCCGCCCGGGGGCC